CCTATACTTGCTCACTGGTTATACTAATCCAGACTTATACTTGTTCTATAGTGCTAGCCTAACCAGATATCAAGCATCTTGTTGAAGCAAAACATGGATACTTCTTTCACACGCAGTATACTAATTGTGCTTTGGAGGTCGCCTTCGCCGGTTGGCATGTCGGCAGTTTTCAAGATGACCAGCTTGTTATATCCCAACGCCAGGCATCAGGCAGGGTAACAAAAAGTACCATCTTCCAGGGGGCTTTGAGCCTCGGACCTTCCACTCCCTGGCCAGGCACAAGGCAACATACTGTCACAATGAGTGAGTTTAGTTTTACGCTGCTTTTAGCAGTATGCCAGCAATATCATGGCGGGAACGCCAGAAATGGGCTTCACACAATGTAACTATTTGGGGAATTGAACCCAGGTCTTCAGTGTGACGAGCAGACACTTTAACCACTAGGCTTCCCCACAGTGACATGGGTAACAATGTAATACATTATGTTTTAAATATTTTACACTTTAAGAATATTTTGAAATATGTAGGTGTTTGAGTGTGATGCCAAAGACTGAGTGCAGTTCCCAGTGTTTGACTTCAATTATGGTATCTGTGGGTGTTACTGCCGGAACATGGCTGTAACAACAAACAATAAACATACTGGTTCACAAAATGACAAACATAAACAGCCAATTCTCTGAAACTACCTCCAATGCAAATTCTCTGTGAATCTGGCTACTCAACAAGTAACTCAGTGAAAAGACAAACAGCCTGTTGGAATTGTGGTCAGATTTATTTGCCCCGGATGAACATAATTATTCATGGCACGATTTACTTACAAATATTTACATATGTACATACAAGGTATTTAAATACACACTGGTGCATCACACACCTGACATGCACAACAAAACATTCTCTCTGTATCATACATGTGAGCATCATCAAAAACATCGACATTTGATTTGATAAAAACAGGAATAAAAATGTGCAACTCCATTGTTTCCGTCTTAACATGCAGTGATACGTCACTCCAGATCCCCTCCAGACATTCATATTCCTATTCAATGATACAAGTCAAAAATATCCATTGCAGATTGGCAGTGTTCAAAAAGACTTACTGTGCAGCTTGTGAACTGGACATTTGGACGATTCCAGTCAGTAGTCGTCATGATTAACAGGGTTCTATTATGAATGCACCTGGAACTATCACTACAGTACCAGTTAACAGCAAGAGGAGTGTAAAATCATTCTGTTTCAGATTAAAGGGAATCTTGCCTAACATAGTTTATTAGGGAACAGTGGGTGTATTAAGGTTGGCATTTGGTGTTACCTCTTTTGGTTTAAAATGGACCAAACACCAGACAGAAACAAATTGTTACCTTTCCAAAAATCCAATGAAATGGTTCAAATCTTTGCAACTGTGACATTCTTGAGTTTCATTCTTTGGCAATAACTCCCAAAGGTTTTCGATTTTGATTTTTAATTATATTTTTATTTCTTTGGGAAAAGATACAAAATAAAAATAAATAAATGAATAAATCGGGCCTACTTACGATGCCCATTGCAATAACCATGATCACTCATAGATGATACAAACATGTGACACTTTTTATCAACAAATTTCAACATTCACACCAAAACCTGATATACTATGGAATGAGTATCAAACAATGAAAGGGTGATGTAATTTAATTCAAACCTGTAAGTTCCATCAAATTTTGATATCACATGTAGACAGGTTGTTATTTACAAGATAAATCCAATCAGCTTAATATATTGCACAAACTGTTGCCCTATTGCATGGTTTGTAGACCTGACAACTTTAGTGGTAGAGTTACATCCCTTTGAATACAATTTGAGGCAGGGTTGTGTCCCTTTGAGTGCAATCTCAGTAAGTCCTTCAGTTTTAGAGATCAATGTAAACAATACAAATCTTGTACAATTTTTCTCTGCAACAAAATCAGAAAGTGAAACAAAGCAAGACAGTTGACAAGATACTGCAGATTAATGGCAGAATGGAAGAAACTATTAATTGGATGAAGCCAAGCCATTTATCTGTACTGAAGAGTAGTGGTGTATTCTGTATCACAATGATTGACATACCGTCGATGCTTCACATTAGGACAGCCTCGACCCTTTGATCCGCACAACCGACACAGCTGTCTGGTGAATTATGCCACCTGTACGTTTCTATGACGATACCTGTCAGTCAAGGCTGACAGCTTGAGATAGTGTTCATATCACACGAACAGTGCATGATGGTCCATCAGCAGAGATAAGTCACTGAGTTGGTCATCAGGAGAATTTAAACCTCACGAGATTCCGGACAACAGTTCACTCTTCCTTTTGTTTGCTGTCATCCTGAAATGAATGAATGAATTCTTTATGTTCCACAACTGGAGTAATAAAACAGTAGCAGCATCAGAAACAGACACAAATGGGAACTTATCCATGGTATCAATGTTATCTCTTCAAGTGCCGCTTTTAGCAATATTCCACAATATCATAGCTGGGAACACCAGAAATGGGCTTCACACACAATACCTATGCAGGGAATCAAACCGAGGTCTTCAGCATGATGAGTGAACCTCAAACCACTGTTTTACTATACTGCCCCTATCTTTTAACAGGGGTGGTGGTTAAAGCCTTCGCTCATCACACCGAAGACCTTGCTTCGATTCCCCACATGGGCAAAATGTGTAAAGCCCATTTGTAAAGCCCCCCGCCATGATAAAACCAAATTCATTCACTCCCAATCTCTTCAAAAAATCGACACTAAAGGAAAGTCATTCCCTGCGTTAACAGTTTAGCATAAAAACACAACTTACTGGTTATTTGAAAAAAAAATCAGATAGAATTATTTAAGTTTGGATATAAATATACAATTTATAGTAGAATTTCCAATTTTTTAAACTTATCCTATCTCACGGTATACATTATCCCACGGTTGGCTGGTGGGCCGCAGATTACCCTGTGTCAACTCTACAAACGTAAGGTCGCATAACACAAGGCGGCCAGGAGAAAGCACCAACTCCCGATATGCTAACTCCGAACTTGTGATGGGTTGCTTCGAATAACCCCTTAGCTTACACAGCACAAAAACTCTAGGGAGTGGGCGGTCCCGAATTAACGTGGTTTTCAGCCGCAACATTTGACAAGCCAAAGGACTCAGTTTGGCAAGTGGATCCCACCACCCGCGATTTATCAAGTGACCCCAGTGAATTAAAGTCGAAGACCTTAATCTGGACAGTCCCTGCTTCGAAACTACTCCCCACAGACACGCTGGAAGGCGGTAAAAGAGGGAATAACCCGGTTGCTCAACTTGTTTAAAGTTCAGTACCAATCCCCCTAACTTACCGAAGGTGAGAAAGGACTTAGGAGCGCAACGCTTCGAAAAACACGCAGGTAATCTGAAATCAACACTTCACTGACGTAATTGCTCAGAGAGTAGAGGTCAGTAAGCGGAGTGTCGGCCACCTCTGCATGTAGCACAAGACTGGCCTCTGTTTTTATGTTCAATTTTTCTACATTTTATTCGTCTACCTCAAGCAAATTGGCTTTGCTATGTTCCAGCCTCACGATTCCCATTTTGTTTAACGTTTTATCTTATCACTCTCACTCACACTCACACACACACGCGCGTTAGCGCGCACACACACGCACGCAGCAGAATCTGCAATAAATGCATCCCAAACAGTATGTGTGTTTGAGAGAGGCAGAAGTCAGCTGGAATCAAATTTAGATATTAAATTGAAACTGCAATACAATCCACTACTACAAAACCTCGAGCATGTAATGATAGATTACCGATTGAAACCGGCAGATGGCCTAATATAAACATAAATTTGAAAAATAGAATAGGTACAATTTGTAACCACCATATTGATATATGTGACGAGTTTCATATTATCTTATCATGTGCAGCTCTTGATGTATAAGAAAAGTGAGGTGAGGTGAAATTGGGTTTAACGTCGTAATTAAGAATATATCGCTGATATGACGACGTGCATACCTGTATGTGTGGCTGGTTGTACTAGCCCAAACTTGGGCTGGTTTTATAGTGCTAGCTCACTGTGATTATGATATCATGCCGCAGTTAAACATCAGCGAGCCACTCTATTAAACTGACTCCGAACCGACCAGTCCTTGTTGTACCCTTTAATATTGGTGTGAGGCGGCCGGGGATCGAACCCGCGACCTTCCGCGCTCCGTACAAGCAAACGCCCATGCCCGCTAGCCCGGGGCTAGTAAAAATCCAGTCGGGCCAGTAAATCTCAACAGTCACTGGCCCGTCTGGCTAGTGAATTTTCACCAAAAAAATATATTTTTGTAAATACATGTATATCACTCTCTCCGACTTGTTAAGTTATAATACACTTTTAAATCATGCAATAGTATGGCCTGATAAAAATGTTCATAATATTAGCTGCTTAATGATGAAACCGTGTCTACATTACAGTTTCGGGCCAGTGAATACTTTTGTGGGCTAGTAACTTTCAGGCATAGCTAGCCCGTCTGGCTTGAAAAATTTGGAACTATTTCGCACACTGGGTGTGATGGTGACTTTTATGGAGTTGTATGTACAATGTGAATGCCCCACCAACCCACCCCGCCTAAAATTTATGTTTTTTATGTACAAAATTGATAGAACATCTCCCGCCCCCAAATCATCATATCATACGCACGCACGCGCACACACACACACACAGAGGTGTGTTAAACCAGAGACCATATAATATTATTAAACAGCTAAAGTTTGATTGTAATAAAAACCAATGGAAATATGTTTTCCTATTCGCTGCGGGACAAAGCTATAAATAGCTTTGGTTTTCCCGTTTTCATATTTCCCGTTCATAAACGCGAGCATGTAGATGGTGTAGTTACCAAATCTCACAAAATACCTTTATATATCAGTGAGAGAAATACAATCGATATGATAGGGCCAAATTGAATACGGAGCGGGAGCTTGTTTTGGTGTAGATCTACGAAGTCACTGCAAGTGAAAGTGAAAGTAGGATACGGAAGTGGGTGTAACCCGCTCGGTTCAAGTCGCCGTCCACCATGTCACAGCACTTTGAAGGCTTGCAACGTGTGCCGTGACTTCTTGCGTCGTGAGTAGGTTCAGTAATGTGTATGTAATTAGCTGGTAATGTGACTATGTCTACAGTGTTTTTCAAATCTGTGTGCCGAAGATTGGGCATCTATATACAAACGCCCGAGGTGAAGCAGATACAGGCACGTTAGTGAGTTATATCAATGTCAGACAGCCCCACTGGACTCAATTTTGTGTCCGTCCGATTGTACACCTGTCGTCATATTATATCGACCTATTTTAAACCACAAAGAGTATAAAGCTGAAACTTTGAATACAGATTACGGTGTCTCATAACAGACTCATATTAAACGCTGTATATGTACACACAATTTCAAAATGGCTGCAATTTGAGCTCTGTTCGTCCTTGTCAGAAGGTCATTTGTGCAGACAAACTCAATACTCTCATTTATGGCCATCATCAGTATGATTATTCAGCCACATTTTGTTATACACCGACCTTGAGAAGTCAAGGGTATATATACTAGGCACATAAAGAAACTGTGCATACAAACATTTAAAATCTAAATTTATCAAACTTGTGTAGACACATAAGGATTTGAACTCAGAGATTAGTGATATGTATCCAACATGCATGCATGTGCCATGTTCCGTGATGTTAGTGGTTTCGTCCTTGAGACGTGCAAGACTTTGTTGCACGTGCAGTCCGGGAATAGAGAAACAGAGCAAATGAATGCCACACAATACTGTCACTTTGGAAAGCTCAACCCCTGCCCTTGCGATCGTTCCAAAAATTAAACGGCTATTGAAACGCATAGCATGCCAAGGCTCACGTCTGCACAACGTCATGAGGCCATTGGGATGGTCCGTGGGGGAATGTCTCAACGACAAGTGGCTGCACATTCCCACTGCCACCGGAACACCATTTAGGTAATGACGGAGGTGCAATGCAAAGTTCAGTTGTCAATTGTAACTAATTGTAACTCAGCCATAGTTGGGAGTTCTGGGTTTTAGTGAGTCCTGCTTACTTGAACACATGTTCCAATAATATGAAGTACAGTCTTGACCATGTTTCTAACTTTTCTGAAACTAAACTTCCCAATGATTTTCCAATGGACAAATAAGCTGAAACTGAACCAGCTTGGAGCGGCCATTTTGAAAGATGTTTGTGGTCATTGCACCATTACTTAAAATGAAATGGAATCTGGTTTTAACGAAGTTAACAGTTGCACTGTTACCGTTGCATTCATAAGTTAGGGTTTTCTACTATTTAATATAGGCAAGCATGTTTCTTATTTCACAAAAGATACAACCACAAATGAATTGTGACACTTCAGAAAGCTAAACACTTGATCTGTTTGTTTGTTTTTGTTGTTGTTGTGGGGTTTTTTGTTTCATGCCACACATCAATATTCCAGCTATATGGTGGCAGTCTCTAAATAATCCAGTGATCAACATCATGAGCATCAATCTATGAAAAAGTTGCAGTTTCGTGCAATCCAAAATGGATACAGGGAACATAAAAAAGAAAATTCTTGGTTTGATGTAGTATGAACCATCTTCCAGGTAGTTAATTTGAACTGTTGCTGGGAATAATTCTGGGTGGCTGCATGGTTACCTGACTTTGACTTTCATCACAGACACCAGACATATGATGGAATTTGACTCGGCCATTATAATTCTTTCATCATCAAATATATACAAACTATGAGTCCAGTCAGGTTGTTTGTAAAAGATATAAGAGGTCATTCAATAATAGCTACAGAGCCCTGGAACAGTGTTGTCAGACCGGCTTACTTATTGTCACAGCATGTTTAGATTCCACATCATTTTGACAGACAGAGCACGTTGAAGTGAGGAGGTGAACTTGAGATGGCCAGTAGAGATGAAGACAGTGGACACCATCTGGTCATGGCCACTTCCAGTGAGCCATCTGAAAGTCACATGGACACTTCTGGTGAGCATTCAGAATCTGATGTTGACATGGCCAGTTCAGACGAGGAACATGAAGGTCACTTGGTACCCGCAGGTTCAGCGTACGAGGAGATTCTAGAGAGCCAAGCAATCTCAATAAGTACAGGTGGGTGTCACTGTTGTCCTCCATTTTGTCATCTCAGGTTGAAATGAAATACACCAAGGGGGCCTGTTCTTCTTCTTTTTTCAAATTCCATATCAAATGTTACATTGGTGAATTTTCGCTCAGCTTGTCATTGATGTATTTATTCCTCATCATGAGAAAAGTGAAAGTCTTCTGCAGGGCTCCAGATAAGGGCCGTATCGGCGTATGTACGGATAAAACATATGCACGATACGGTAGGAAATCATTTAGAAAACGTAGCAGATACGCCTCACAGCAATGGTGTACGGTCTTTGTATCATTTACAGATGTATTTATCTGAAAAAGTATTATTGTATTGTTTATTGACCCATTTACACAAGAGCAGCAATGTTGTGGTGCATATATGAAACGAAACACTCACTGATACTGCATTAAATTCCATTCAGTACTTGAAATGTACTCTTAAGGTTTTCTTAAGGAGTACGTACTCCTGATGTTGAAAAATTATCTGGAGCCCTGCTTCTGAATGATAGAAACCCTTCTTTTGCACAGCAAACCCGTGAAGGTCCGGGTATGAATCTTCAGTAGTCCATGCTTGTTATAAGAGGCGACGACCAGGATCGGGTGGTCAGGCTCGCTGGTTTGGTTTACACATGTTATCGGTTCCCTATTGTGCAGATTGATGCTCATGCTGTTGATCACTGGATTGTCTGGTCCTGACTCAATTATTTACAGACCGCCACCATATAGCTGGAATATTGCAGAGTGCGGCGTAAAACTGAACTCACTCACTTTCACACTGCAATAATAGGAAATAATGTTATTCCATGTGGAAAGGAAACAACTGATCAATTATGGTTTTGGTAACCATGGTTACTGATGATTCTTCCTCCTGGTTGATGTTGACAGGTGAACAGCGTTCAGGGAACGCCCAAGTTGCCAACACTCTCAACTTCGTCACTGGAGGGGCAGGACAAGGAACACTGGGGAGAGGTGAGTGTTGATGGCGGAAGGGTCAGTAAGTGACCAGATCTTTTTCAAGACTGTTACCATTCTCAGAGAGAAGATCATCATCCCTGGTCCCACCTGTCACCCTTATGGATTGAAATGGGTGATAGAAGAAAATGTTGTATACAAACTCCTGATGTATTGACAGCAGTATTTTGCAAAACTAATGAATCTCGAATGATGTAAAAAACAACTGTTACACACCTTGCATCAATTGTGGTATGCTTGCACACACAATAGAAATGAGTGAATAGTTTGTCGTCTTATGTTTACATCGAAGTCTTTGCTGGGATGTTAAATATTTTTTTTCCTACACAGATACCCTTGATTTACGCATAGATGAAGCGAGGAAGATTTTTGCTCCAACCGAAGCCTACAGAAAAGTGAAACAGAAATTGAAGGAATTTGGTCATGTGACTATCTGTGGTGCTTCAGGAGAGGGCAAGACAACAATGGCTCTGATGCTGGGTTCACAGTATAGACAAAAAGGGTACGAGGTAGTGTTTGTGGACATCCTTAAGAAGTTTGACTTTGACCGCTGTCTTAGTACCTACTCAAGAGTATTTCTCATTGTTGATGATTTGTTTGGTACTGTTGGAGTATCTGCTAATACTTCACATGTTAAAAACTTTCTGAACAATCTTCTCCCCCATTTAGAACAAAAGCAGAGAGCAGAAGAGAAAAGGTCAGAATTGAGTGAAAACAGTGATGCTGGTGAAAAATCCAGAAACAAAGTGCAAAGTTTAACAGAATCTCAAACAAAGGACATTCATGTTATCTTCACATCAAAATCATACAATTTCCATGATGGACTTGCAAAACTGCAGTATGAGGGTTTCAAATTGTTCAAGGGTCAGACAGTAGTGGACTTAACAAAACAAGAAAAATACAGGCTTTCTGACAAAGAGAAGAAATCAATATTTGAACGACATAAACATGCTTTTGGTGACTGCTCTGTGCAACATATTCCAGATTACAATGAGCTGGAAATCTGTTCCAACATCTTTGGATTTCCTCTCATTTGTAAACTTTGTTTTGAATTTTCCTCTTTCTTTAAAAATGCAAAATCATTTTTCAAGGAACCACTCTTTTATCTTAGATTAGAACTGAAGCAGTTACTTGAAGATAGAAATGATAGATCTGCCAGTTTGGTTCTGATGCTGCTGTGTGAAGACAAATTGAACCTGACCACCTTAGACAGTGGAGAAGAAGACAAGGAAATGGACAGGATGGTCAAAACTGTTAAAGACCTGATGCCTAATGCTACACGTTCAGGCATGTACAAAGCCACTAAAAGTTTTAGAGGTACATTCTTCAGAAGAGGAGACACTGTTGTCTTTGCCCATTCTTCAGTCTATGATGCTTGTGCCTGTGCCTTTGTTCAATATCAGTCCAGTCTTTGTTTTGAAGAACTGTAGTGATGACTTTCTGTTTGAAAGAGTACAAGGTGAAAAGATTGAAGAAACTATAGCTGATGACCATCTCCATCTGATATATGTCTCAGATAATTATGATGACATACTTACCACAAGGTTTGCACATTCTATTAAACAAGGAAAGTTTTCTCAATCAGTCACACATCCAGTTCTCAAACGAGACACAACAGCGTTCAAGCTGCTCAACAAACTTCAGTGTGATGGGACAAAGCACCACCATCCGCATAATCAAACTGATTCTAAAGATGAACTTTGGTTTCAAAGAAGAGAGAAAGGAAAATGTTTTCTGTACTGGGCAGTTCTTGGACATAATGCACATCTAGTTACAGAAATAGAACACACAACTGGAGGAGAATTCTCTCAAGAGGCGATCAGTCAAGCTATAGGAGGGTTTGCACAAAGCAACAATGTGACAGTATTGAAATGGCTCTTCACTCGCTCCGAAAAACATGATCATCAATTGACGCTCAACAGACTCTTGTTGCAAGCTGCTGAAAATGGCAGCTCCGATATTCTAGTGTATCTGCTCCAGGAAGGTGCTGATGTTAACACTAGAGACAAGAAGTTACAAAACATCTTCCATCTGGTTTGTAAGACAGGAATGGAAAAATCCCTGAAAACCTTGTTAATTAGGAAACCTGGAAATAATGTGATAAACTCCGTTGATGTGAATGGCCTAACCCCTGTCATGGTTGCAGCACATTCAGCATCACAAGAATGTTTTGAATTACTACAGAAAATATCAAACTTGAATCTGAAAGATAAATATGGTTCTACAATTATTCATCTTGCCTGTCAAGGTGGCAACAAGACTGTCGTGAAACATCTCCTGTCTCCCTCTAACATCAACAGTAGAGGGAGACATGGCTGGACACCAGCAATGGTGGCAGCTGTCAGTGGACATCAAAGTGTGTTTGATGTCCTTGTGTCCGACAAAGCTGACCTGACACTGGTGGCTACATCTGGTGATAGTTTACTTCATCTTGCCTGTCATGGTGGGAACATTGCTATAGTACAACACCTCCTGTCTCACTCTAACATCAACAGTAGAGGTAAGCACGGATTGACAGCCGTGATGAAGGCAGCTGTCAGTGGACATCAAAGTGTGTTTGACCTCCTTGTGTCCAAGCAAGCTGACCTGACACTGGTGGATACATCTGGTGATAGTTTACTTCATCTTGCCTGTCATGGTGGGAACACTGCTATAGTTCAACACCTCCTGTCTCCCTCTAACATCAACAGTAGAGGTGAGTATGGCTTGACACCAGCAATGGTGGCAGCTGTCAGTGGACATCAAAGTGTGTTTGACCTCCTTGTGTCCAAGCAAGCTGACCTGACACTGGTGGCTACATCTGGTGATAGTTTACTTCATCTTGCCTGTCATGGAGGGAACACTGCTATAGTACAACACCTCCTGTCTCCTTCTAACATCAACAGTAGAGGGAGACATGGCTGGACACCAGCAATGGTGGCAGCTGTCCATGGACATCAAAGTGTGTTTGATCTCCTTGTGTCCAACAAAGCTGACCTGACACTGGTGGCTACATCTGGTGATAGTTTACTTCATCTTGCCTGTCATGGTGGGAACATTGCTATAGTACAACACCTCCTGTCTCCCTCTAACATCAACAGTAGAGGTAAGCACGGATTGACAGCCGTGATGAAGGCAGCTGTCAGTGGACATCAAAGTGTGTTTGACCTCCTTGTGTCCAAGCAAGCTGACCTGACACTGGTGGATACATCTGGTGATAGTTTACTTCATCTTGCCTGTCATGGTGGGAACACTGCTATAGTTCAACACCTCCTGTCTCCCTCTAACATCAACAGTAGAGGTGAGTATGGCTTGACACCAGCAATGGTGGCAGCTGTCAGTGGACATCAAAGTGTGTTTGACCTCCTTGTGTCCAAGCAAGCTGACCTGACACTGGTGGCTACATCTGGTGATAGTTTACTTCATCTTGCCTGTCATGGAGGGAACACTGCTATAGTACAACACCTCCTGTCTCCTTCTAACATCAACAGTAGAGGGAGACATGGCTGGACACCAGCAATGGTGGCAGCTGTCAGAGGACATCAAAGTGTGTTTGACCTCATTGTGTCCAACCAAGCTGACCTGACACTGGTGTCTACATCTGGTGATACTTTACTTCATCTTGCCTGTCAGGGTGGGAACACTGCTATAGTACAACACCTCCTGTCTCCCTCGAACATCAACAGTAGAGGGAGACATGGCTGGACACCAGCAATGGTGGCAGCTCTCAGTGGACATCAAAGTGTGTTTGACCTCCTTGTGTCCAACAAAGCTGACCTGACACTGGTGGCTACATCTGGTGATACTTTACTTCATCTTGCCTGTCAGGGTGGCAACACTGCTATAGTACAACACCTCCTGTCTCCCTCTAACATCAACAGTAGAGGGATGTATGGCTGGACTCCAGCAATTAAGGCAGCTGTCCATGGACATCAAAGTGTGTTTGACCTCCTTGTGTCCAAGCAAGCTGACCTGACACTGGTGGATACATCTGGTGATAGTTTACTTCATCTTGCCTGTCGTGGTGGGAACACTGCTATAGTACA